AAAAAAAAAAAAAAAAAAAATATATATATATATATATATATATATATCAAGAAGAAAATTGACTTAAAAAAAAGGTTTTGACATTTGAAATATAGGTTTGGAAATTAAATATTTGGCATAATTATTATAATTTTATTCATTAAAATTCCCGAACAAATTTTAATAAAGAACACTCTCGCTTCCTTCCACCCACCGTAAAAAATATTAAAATAATCCTGCCAACGTCCGGTTCTTCTATAAGCCATTCACAATCTGCCACGTATTAATTAGTCGCCCCATCCCTTACAACGAAGCAGCCTTTCACGCCTTTCAAGTCTGCCAGACTGTACGGCCACCGTCATAAAGTAAAGAATCCATTCATTGCGCCTCGTTAATATTTATCTCCCAAACAATATTATAATTTTTATTTAGGACAAAAACAATTCAGATCAAGAAATTCGTTCATTAATATAAATTCCTAAAATATATTTTTCAGCCTTTTAGTATTAATTTGTCCATCGAAATTAAAATACGACAAGTTAAATAATTAATTTTAAATTTTAATTTCTAAATTCCAAACCTAATTTTAACCATGGTAAATTTTTTATGAAGTAAATTGTTCCTATTAGCCACCCATTTGAATATATTCATCGTTTCCTGTAATACATTTTTAGACAATTCAGGTCTGACAATCTTAGACACAATTTTACCGAACCAGCATATAAAATCATAAAAGGAGTTGACTAGTTGTCAAATTCTCTCTACTCAAAAAATTATATGTTATTTAAACTTACTTTCGAAAATCATTTTATCCCTTTTCAAAGGAGGGTTAGAGGCTTGAACATACGTTGCTTGGTCGTAAGTGATGCAAATCTAAGTTAACTTAACTCACACGTTATTGGAAGTGAATGAAGCTCAAAATTTGAGGCAAAAAAAAATGTAATTATGACAAGTGGTATCCAGTAAAAAAAAAAGGGTACGTTGAAATCCGGCTCCGTATATGGCAACCTTGGACAGCTACCAAACTCATCGGTTATACTTCCTTACCTCACAAGCTTCCATATAAAAAAGCTTCCCTCATTCGTCCGTTTTTCCGATTCTACACCTTTGCTCATGCATCACCTCTCTCACATCCGCCAATTCCACCCTTAAAGCTTACGCTATTTTTTATTTTAAATTTAAATTTAAACTATTAATGATACTTGTCGGATTCTTATCGGGTGTGGTTAAGGCCCAACCCGACCTTTCGTTATACGGCCCATTATTATTTTTCTCTACTTTATCTATATATATTCCACATTAGGACTCTCTTCCTAAACCTCTCTAGTCTGCGAAAGATGTGCGGCGGTGCACTTATCTCTGGGATTATAGAAAAAAAGCGCGGTCGGAAGCTTAGTAATGGATCTCTCTGGCCCGACACCGACCATTTTTCCGACCTCCTCGGCCTTGATTATTGCGCCCGTATATTTCGCTCTCTTTAATTTTTGTTTGTTTTTAAATTTAATATATATTTTATTCAGATAATTTTAATATATATTTAGGCAATCCCGTTAGGGATATTGAACTGTGATTTGTTTACTGATTTTGTAGTGAAAACTGAGACACCTCAGAAAAAATGCCGAGCTACGGCGGAGACAGCGGCGGTGCCGGAGCCGGAGAAGACTCGAAAGGCTCGGAAAAATATATACAGAGGAATCCGGCAGCGGCCGTGGGGGAAATGGGCGGCGGAGATTCGAGACCCACAAAAAGGCGTTAGAGTTTGGCTTGGCACTTTCAACACTGCCGAGGAAGCCGCCAGAGCCTACGATGAAGCGGCAAAAAGGATCCGAGGAGAAAAGGCTAAACTCAACTTCGCTCCTCGTCCGCAACCGTTACCGGTGTCGCAGCCTCCGGCGAAAAAACGGTGCGTTGCTCACGAGTTAACTCCAGATTGTTTCAGTTCCACCAGTTCGGCGCCGGCGAGTACACGTGTGAATAACTCGTGTGAGATCGACGGGCTTTACTACGGCGAGGAATTGGCGAGTTTGAGATCTTTCTTGGATCTGGATTTTGAAGAAGAGCAACAACCGAGTCAAGTCGGTGGGAGCGATGAGTTTGGGCAAGCTGTGGAGCTTTGGATGATGGACGACCCGTCGTTGAATGAGGAGAAATTCAGTTCGGTGGTGTAACCGAGATAAACTCATTCGTCCGACATGTCGTTTACTACTAAGTACTGGTGTAATATCTTTTGTTTTTTTTGTTTCGACCTTTTGAACTTAGTTTTGTAGATATACATAGATAGGTTCAATAAAAAGCTTGTGACATGGAAACTCGCTCGTGTTTTTGCCTTCTTTCGTCTTTTGAAACGACATGTCGGCTCCTGTATCAGATCAGATTGCTTCTATTTATAATATTTTCACCATGTTGAGTGGTTTTTGTGTGTTTGACTCTTTTGTCGGATGCCTCTTTCCTTTGTCGTCTCGCCTTGGTCACAGTAATTCAATTACAGTACCTTAATAATATTTTAATTTATTTATTTGATGGGAAATAATATTTAAAAAGGTTGAAGAGCACTGAGACGAAATATTTGAAAGAGGGAAAATTGAAAAGGTTTGGGATTGAGATCCAAAGTGGGGCCTGAGATGAAGAAGAGGGTTGAAAGAGAGGAGAATGAAATTTGTGGTTTGTTCTTTGGGGCTGATTTCAAAATATCTAAGATGGATTTTGTTTTGACATCTTCATCATTGCATCTAATTCTTTGAAATTCAACGGATTCACTATGTTTTCATTTATTTATTTATATCTGTCTTTTTCTTTTGTTTTACTCTCACTATTATAATCTCAAAATAATAGGAGTCTAAGGTTAACTAATAAGATGGCTCAGGTAAAGGTGCAAACAGTCGTGAGGTTTGCTTAGAAGCAGCCACTCTTGAAAGAGTGCGTAATAGATAGCTCATTGATCGAGGGCTCTTACACCAAAGATAAACGGGTCTAAGCGATATGTTGAAGCTGTGGAAGATAAAAATGTATCAATAAGGGAGCGCTTCACTTTAGAGAGAAGCACCAAATCAGAAGCGAGAATATTGGCTTGGGGAACGCAAACATTGGTGAGAATCCAATGCCCAAAAATCTAAACATTGATAACTAATACACTGTATCTAAACATATTTATTGGGAATATGCAAAATGTGCTTATTCGAAGTTGAAATGGTTTCTGGCAAAATTGTGTTTTAAGTTCATTTGAGTTCTAAAAAGAATAAAAGTAGAATCGAAAAGCTTTGGAATGAGTATAGCATTGACAATTGGCTCCAAAACCCATCATCATCTATCTGCACCAAGTTGATGATGACTGAAAAGACTACACAAACTCTCTCAGATATGAATTAAAATCCTTCTTGAATTCCTATCGATCAGGCAAATGAGTACTGAAATCAAAGGAAATTGAACCCAAAACAAATGTTCAACAGAAGTTGGTGTTTTTTTAAATGTAGAAGCTGATAAAGTGATAAAAGTGGAGGTAGATAGATCAACCATTCCCTCATTTTTCCATGTCCGCCTCTCAATCGACATGAGATCTCACAATCCATCCCTCGGGTGTGAGACCTCTCAATCCACCTCGAGCTCACCACTATCAAAAAGCTTGAGATTTGAATCCACCCTTTGCCAGTTGTTGAACTTAAAAAGAATACACACGTACAGCAGCAGACGTTACGGTAGACTACACAAAAAGGTGCTCAAGTTGCCTAATGGTAAAAAAATTGGCCAACCACAATATTAGGAATCAAATTATAACAATGATTCTCCTCCCAATCCATTCAGAGGAGGTCAAATTCATGCATTAAGAACATATGTAAAGCAAGACACAAAAAAAGAGAACAGCATTTTGAAGAGAGAGAGAGAATAACGTGCCAAACGATGAAACCAGGCAGTTCTAAGAAAGGTGAAACCAATGGGTGAAAAACAAGCAAAGGTTTTCTGCCCACAGAATTCTTCTCATGGGCTGAAACGCTTGTCCGTTATAAGAATGATGAAGAACCAGTCGCTGAGAGATGAACTAAATGCCTTAAGGAGCTAAGAAACAATTTACTGAGATAATTTCGAACCAATTTACCGAGATAAAACAATGTGAGTATTTACAGAGATTATATATATGCATAGCAACTGTGAAGAATCGAATACAAGAGATTTGTAGCCAGATTTCTGTTTCGGAGATTGATCATTGAGAGGAGAATTGTACCAATCAACACACAGAGATTAATCTCATGGACAATTTTCCTCGTTCGGAGTTCCTCATTGCTTCACCTGCAAATCTAATAACCTTCTTGAATGCGAAATGCACACAATTTGAGAGCGCGATCCAATAAACCACCTCGTAAACGAAATAATACGCCGGATTAGAAGAGGATGAAGATTCATCCCAATCACTCCCCCCAAATCTATCGAAATTCCAGCCACTTCCGCCGCTACCGCCACCTCCGCCGTACGATCCGTCAAAATCGCCGCCGCCGAATCCGTTGACTTCGCCGCCCTCGGAGTCATCGCTGTATAATCTACGCTTCGTGCGGCGCTTTCTACGGAGAAAAGTCCGAGAGGCCGATCGGCATGAAGTAGATTTGACAGGCGGCGGAGCAATGGTTGCGACGGGGAACAGTGCGGCTGATAACTGAAGAGCTCCGGCGGCGGAATACGGCGCGATCTGGTCGGCGATCGAATCGGTGATGGAGATGTAGTAATTGGATACGAAATCGAGGCGATTGAGGAATTTGGCGAAGCCAACGCCATTGTTGGCAACCATTGAAAGGGTTCCCGCGACCAGGGAGGTATCCATTGAAATGGAAGGATTTCGAATTGCAAAAAAAAATTAATAATAATAATTGGGATTTCGAATACGAGAAATCTAGGGATTTAAAATATGAAGGAAATTGAAGTGAAAATAGAAGGAAAATCGAAGAGGAAAAGTTGTAGAAGGTGAACGAGCCACGCCACGACATTGGAATCCGAAGACGCCGCGTGTTCAAAACGCGAGGCTAGACCAATTCGCTCACGGCAATGGTCCGCCGTCCCAACCTCGTGGGCCGGATGGGCCTGATTTTTAAGTTGGGCTATTGGATAAGGAAGTAAAGCAGGCCCATATATGGCCCGTTTAATTGGAAATAATTTAAAATATGAGAAACGAAAGGATTATCAAATCCGGCCTGAGGGACAGCGTTAAGTCAAGTGCTGGCCTTCATTTCGGCTGTCTTGATAACACTGATGCCACGTGTTTGTAGGAGCAAAGAGTGCGAACGCGACATAATATATTTTTAATTTGGATCCTTCTGGAGAAGTGTTCAGAAGACTCTTAAATTATATTTTTATCTTTTTTTCTATGGTATAAAAATTCTATATATAGCACATGAATAAATTTATTTAAACTTATTAAAAGAATTGAACTATCCCCTTAAAATAGAGAGTTGAATTGCTTTCACGCTTACGATTTTAAAATGCAGTCTATTATCGAGAAAGTTTAGTCTACTCCGACGAGCGCCTCACACCGTTTGATGATTGACTATGATACTATTTTGGTAACAAATTAAGACCACTCTTAGTATATGTTGTCTGCTTTAGCCCGTTATGGACGGTTGTTAACCTCACAATTTTAAAACGCGACTATTAGGAAGAGATTTTGCTCACTTTTTCAAGCGATGCGAAATCTTACCATCCACCCTGCTTGGGACTCAACATTCTCGCTCGTACACTCTTTAGAGTCTAGCTCTGATACCATTTGTAATATGTGCCGATCAAAGAAATAAGATTTAAGATTGACAATTCACAATCTATTTAATAAAAAAAATTTAAAAAGGGAAAATATAACTAAATAATAGTATTAACCCTTTAGGTGAAGTATAAATGAGTCGTTCCAAGACTTGACCTCCAACAATCACCTTATCTATTTATACCGTGACCGGTCTTGAAAAATGACGTATTAATATTATACTATCAATAATATATTTTTATTAAAATATTAATCGCATTTTTTTAAAAAACAATATTATTCATACACTACTTGAGCAAACTAAGCATGGATTTCTCAAATTTGAGCGTAAAAAATAGAAAATAAATAAATTTACAACGACCAGACAAAATGAATTTCCGTCGATCTTCTACTCCATTGTGGATTGACCCGAAGCCCACGTTACCATAAAACCCGCGAAATTCAGACTTTGACGTGTTTCGTGTTGCTTGCAGTTCATAGGCAGGAAAAGGAGAAGGAAAAAGCCTTCAACAAGAAGACGATTCGCGATTTCCCGTTTCTCGAATTTTCTGTTTCTGTTTCTGTTTCTGTTTCTGTTTCTGTTTCTGTGGATTAACAATCTTCAATTGTGGCCGAATTCGATCAAACGAGGCTGCTGTGGCGTTGGACGGATTAGGAATGGGATCGGAGCAGTTGATGGCCGGAGGTGGGCCTCGATATGTTCAAATGCAATCGGAGCAGCCTACAGCTTCGATGTCGTCGTTTTTCTCGTTTCATCATGACGCTCCTGAGCCAACGAGGATTTTCGATGAATTGCCGAAGGCCTCAATTATTTCCGTTTCTCGCCCGGATGCCGGCGATATCAGTCCGATGCTTCTTTCTTACACAATCGAATGCCAGTACAAGCAGGTGCGAGTTTCGCTTTGAATTTCTGTTGTTTTTTTCATTTGATCTTCGTTTTGAGTTTTCGTTTCTGCAGCTGAATTAGTCCACGTTTCAGGCGTTGTTTAATTTGAATTTGGTTTATGAACGTTCAATTGGATTTGTGCGATTGGTTTTGTTTTCTCGTGAAGAATTCAGGGGAAATCGAATAGGTTAATGGTAGGATTATGTATATTTTATCGACGACTTATCTCAAGTTTAGAGTGCGTATCGAATTGAATTTAGAGCTTTATTTCGACACCCTATTGCTAATTTTGAATCATGATGATTGATATCCTTCCGTGTTCTACCAAAACACCCGAGCAGAAGTAAGAGTTACCACATGGTTTGCCTCGCCAATATTCCTGCTGCAGTCTTGTGATTTTTTTCCTCTTCATTTTGAGATTTTTTTTTTTATCTTTTCAGTTTTGAGCCTTTCCTGGTTTAACTGTATTTTGTTTTCCTGCAATAGTTTAAATGGCGCATGTTGAAGAAAGCTTCCCATGTATTCTATTTACATTTTGCACTAAAGAAACGGGCATTCATTGAGGAAATTCACGAGAAGCAAGAACAGGTATGTGTACGATGGTCTATATAGTTGTATGGTTGTCTTTGTAACGAGAGACACTTCTTTTATTGAGAAAAGATGAAAGAATACAAGGAGCATACAAAAATAAAACCAACCCGCCAAAAGAAGCCAAACTCAAACGGAAAAGGGCTCCAACGAAGCAAACAAGACCTGAAGTGTAATTACAAAATCCTTTTACACTGAGTCCCAAAGGGAGACATGAAATCGAACCAGGGGCTAAACTTCATCCCAGGACCTCTCAACCTCGCTAAAAAAATCTATTATTTTCAACCTCTCTAAAAGCTCTATAGTTGTATGGTTGCTGTCGATACACGGTGATTTGGTTTGATCACGTGAATTCTTGGGTGTTTAACGCTCTGGTGCTTTTGAAATTTTAGATCAGTTATTGTTAGTACAAATGTTTGGGGTTTTGATGTAGTCTTCATTGGAACGTTATATTAAAGGTTAAAGAATGGCTTCAAAATCTAGGAATAGGAGAACACACGACAGTGATCCAAGATGAGGATGGACCAGATGATGAAGCCAATCCTCTGCATCATGATGAAAGTTCTAAAAATAGGTATTTTTCAGCTTTGCTCAAAGCAAAATTGGAAGAATTTGTTCATGTAGCCTTTTTCAATTGTACGTGAATGCTATTACTCATATGGGTGTATTACTTCATTACAGGGATGTTCCGTCCAGTGCTGCCCTGCCTATCATTCGGCCTGCCTTAGGAAGGCAGCATTCTATGTCTGATAGAGCTAAGACTGCAATGCAAGGGTACCTGAATCACTTCTTGAGTAACATGGATATTGTCAACTCTCGAGAGGTATAGGTGAATCCACTGTATAAGCTCCTTTTTTAGTGAACTTTAATGTTCTTTTTAAAGTCTGTTTATTCTCTTGGATTTTCTTAATGAAAGCTTGGTTTTTTGTGGAAAAAAATGTTGTACGAGTTAAATTGATGATTTTATACTTGATACAACAACATTTGGTCGTCAAGAAATTCATGGGATACTTAACATTGCAGTTGTAGGTAGTTAGTTTAGTCTTGATAAAGTTTCTAGCTATCACCAATAATAATTTTTATTGGCATTTACTACTGCATTAATATTTTATAATTTATATTATTATAGAACTGTTTGGTGCTGAGAATCTCTTACTGAAATGAAGTTCTTGTGGGGTACTTGGCAATTACATCCAAACTGGAACTTTTGGCTACCTTCAAGATGTTTTTTCTCTTCCTTAAAATTTATGTTCTATTTACAATTGGTATACTGAGTCGATATTTCTTGAGAATAATTACTTTATTTGTCTTCTGCCTGAGTTGAATGAGTAGTTCTAGATTTCTAATTAGATTGTTTTTTCCCATTATTTAGTAGTTTTTATCTTGATTCACTTTTTCATCACAAAATGTGGTGCAATAGAATTTTTTGAACCTAATCAAGGGGAATGCAAAGCTTTGCATTAAAGTTGACTACGTTTTGATTCTTTCAACCTCCGTTTGGGTGTTTACTTTTTCTTAATGAACCTGTGTATTTTTTTATTTATTTAAAAAAGCCTTGGCATTTATGGGAGAAACTTTTTATCTGATCCTGGTCAATGCTTCATAATGAGCAAGATGCATTTTTATCTATAGATTTACTTTTACATTCACGATGCCATAATGCATGTACGTTCATATAGAAAACCACAGATTGACTAGTCTCTGTGTCTAAGATACGTATTTTAATTGTTTGATATTTGACTTTTAAGTCATATTGCATCAAGTGTAAACCATTTTTTCCTCATTTATGATCAATTTTTATTATTATAATTCCTTTTAAATTCATAAACTGTAGGTTTGCAGGTTTTTGGAGGTCTCTAAGTTATCATTTTCACCAGAATACGGCCCAAAGTTGAAAGAGGATTATGTTATGGTGAAGCATCTACCTAAAATTGCACGGGAAGATGACGCTAGGAAATGCTGCCTATGCCGGTGTTTTGGTTGTTGTAATGACAATTGGCAAAAGGTAAGGGGCTTATTCCTTAGTTTTATGTCTGGGTTTCCTTCATATGGTGTTTCAAGTGACCAAACAAGTTTGATAGGTTGCATGTTGGCTTCTTCTTATCCTCCTCCTCCTCCTCCTCCTCCTCCTGTATGTTTGTATGTTAAGTATGTCTTGTTATAATTTTCGTTCTAATGTCTTTCGCCTATCATGTGCTTTATACAAGACCTGTATCAAATTGTGAACATGTAATATTTTTGTTTTGACTTGAAGACATGAGAATTTGTTTATTAAGCCTATATCAGGATTAAGATTCTCCCAGCTCATATGTGATAATTAAATGTTGTAGCCAGGAGCTGAAAGTCTTACCTAATTGTGTTTTCTGTAGCAGAGACCTAAATTTATAGGTATGCTGGTAGAACCATGCCCACACACACAAAACAAAAGAACTCGTGCAGGATGTTCTCTTATTTTTCTCCTTCCATGGAGGTTTTCTTTTAAATGCTTGTTTCCTCTTCCAAGTTCCAACTTTCTTTTATAAAGGTTTAACGAAATGTAGCTGGATTTTTCTTGGGTTTGCATCACAATCATGTCATGAGCTGTGGCTTCTCTGAGTTTTGATTATTCAAATAACTACGAAAGAAACTACTGGTTGTGTGTTATGCTTTCTGTTGTCATTTACACTGATGATGGTATCATGGAAATCTTCTGGAGTTGGACTAACTTTGCTTCTTTCCTTCTCGTCTCTTTCTACTAATGTTATAGTAATTTCTTGTTTTGGCATATGGACCTTCTTACTGTAATTGGAAAATTTGACATATTGAGACTGCTGTGGTGTATTAGAACAACTTATTAATTGATCAACTTTAAATATACAAGTTTGTGTTGTTGGTTGAATTTTGTAGGTGTGGGCTGTATTAAAGCCTGGTTTTTTGGCCTTATTGGGAGATCCTTTTGACACTCAACCAATGGATATAATAGTTTTTGATGTGCTACCTACTTCTGATGCCAATGGAGATGGACGAGTATCTTTGGCAAAGGAAATTAAGGAGCGAAATCCATTACGACATTCATTTAAGGTAGTGAAATTTTGTGCGTTGATTGAACCTTGTATAATGTTGGTTATTTTAATTTGTTCTGTTTCTAAATATGATGCTGGTCTTTTGCCCCCTATGTGGTTGCAAATAAGACGGATTTTACTTTTGCCAGTATTCATGACGTTGCGATAAACTTTTGTTTGTGATGGAATTTTGTGCTAATAAATTTTTTCTTATTGAGAGTTAAATCCGTGATTTGAAATGTTAGGTGACATGTGGAAATAGGAGTATTAGGATAAGAGCAAAGAACGGATCCAAGGTTAAAGACTGGGTTGCTGCAATTAATGATGCGGGACTGAGGCCTCCTGAGGGATGGTGTCATCCTCACCGTTTTGGTTCTTTTGCTCCTCCAAGGGGTTTGACAGACGATGGTAGTAAGGCTCAGTGGTTCATCGATGGTCAAGCAGCTTTTGAAGCTATTGCCTTTTCCATTGAACGTGCAAAATCAGAGGTATTCTTTTTCTCCCTCTCCTTTAACCCTTCTCTTTAATTTAAGACCCTGAATTGGTCATACAGTCATTATTTTTGTTTCGTTTCCTATTAAAGAAAAAAAAAAAATCATTAGTTTTGTGGGCAGTTACTGTTGGCTGATTTTGGGGTCTTTTGCAGATTTTCATTTGCGGCTGGTGGCTTTGTCCAGAATTGTATCTGCGGCGTCCTTTTATTTCAAATGCTTCATCTAGGCTCGATGCTTTGCTTGAAGCAAAAGCTAAGGAAGGGGTTCAGGTACCTTTCGGAATTCTCATATATTTTTATAATATGAATTGATGAATATCTTATTAGTTATTTTGATATAAACTCAATGAATTTATTCTTGGAGCATTCAAATTTCATGGCCTTTTGATGATTTAATTGTATGGGGATGTTAAGAGTTGAAAATAAATTGCAATTATTTAGGTATCTTCCCATGAATATGGCACAGATTCCTCAAGTCATCCAACTCATCTTTCATGGCATCTACCCATGAATTTGCCCCAAATTCCAAGTCAATCGTATGTGGAATTAAAAATTGTAATAATATTCTCAAAGATGTATCTATTCCTTAATCTTTTTATTCATTTTCTTTTGAAGAACTGAGATAGAGAGAATTTTGAATTACTATTCTGGTTGTAAAAAACTTACCTACTACATTCCAACAAAATAGCTGTCCATCGATCTAGACGCAACTAGGCATGGAATAGATAAAAATTTAAAATAATTATTCTATTCTCTTGCTCTCTTAATGTTTCAAAACTTACGTGCCATATACATTACATTAGTGCACTATTAATGTATTGCTTTCTCTCTCTTAATACACTGTATTAATCTTATCTCTGACGACATGAATTTGTGTAATGTTTATACAGATATACATTCTTCTCTACAAAGAGGTTGCCCTTGCCTTAAAGATTAACAGTGTTTATAGCAAGAAAAAACTTCTAGGCATCCATGAGAATGTGAGAGTATTACGCTATCCTGACCACTTCTCCAGTGGTGTGTATTTATGGTATGTGTTCAGTATCTTCTTTTTGTGGACATAGTCTATAAGTTAAGTTTCAAATAGGTCTAGACTTTTCAACATCTAATATTTTTGAGTGGTTTGTATAGGTCCCACCATGAAAAACTTGTCATTGTCGATTATCATATTTGCTTTATTGGAGGACTGGATTTATGCTTTGGTCGTTATGATACACCAGAACATAAAGTTGGTGATCGTCCTCCTTCAGTATGGCCCGGGAAGGACTACTATAATCCAAGGTAAGTACTTCTGTTCTCTGCTGCTCAAACATTTTTCCTGGAAATTTCTTGGGTAATTGTTACATTTGAACTTGGATTATTCCATTTGTAACAGCGGTTCTATTGAGTTGCAAAGATGATAAATAGTTATGATTATTTGAGTAGAACAATATTTGGCTGCATTCTGGTATACAGGAATTTTCTTGCATACCACCATTAAATTATTGATAGCAATGAGAGAGAAATCATAGTCAGGAGAGAGAGAAAGGAGGAAGATATTTTCTCTCTCGGTGGTGTGCTGGAAGATTTCTGCACTCGTGTATGCAGCCAAGTATTATTATTCTATTTAAGAATTTTCATGCCGTTAGAATTCTGTTTTTCTTTTTATTCCTGGTAATGATTTCTGCATAATTTTGCTAATTTCACGTATTTATCAACTCAGGGAATCTGAGCCAAATTCATGGGAAGATACCATGAAAGATGAGTTGGATCGTGGTAAATATCCTCGCATGCCTTGGCATGATGTCCACTGTGCACTTTGGGGACCACCTTGTCGAGACTTAGCTAGACATTTTGTCCAACGCTGGAATTATGCTAAGGTTGGTGTTCATTGATACTCTTGTAAAAATAGTTTTGACCCTTTATCCTAATCGAAATATACGTATTCCTGCAGAGAAACAAAGCCCCAAATGAGCAGGCAATTCCATTACTTATGCCTCAGCATCATATGGTCATTCCTCATTACTTGTGGAATACCCGAGAATTGGAGGTTGAAAGGAAGAGTTTTGACAATTCTCAAGAATCAACAGTACAGGATTCATTTTCTCGAGGATCATCTTCTCACGATATTCCTTTGCTTTTACCTCAAGAGGCTGATGGACAGGATTCTCAAAATGAAGGTCCAAAATCAAATGGACTGGAGCCCATTGCTAATCCCCTCGATCAGCCTAGTAAGATCAGCAGCAGTCTCTCGTTCTCTTTTAGGAAGATCAAAGTTGAACCCTTAGGACCAGATATGCCTCTGAAAGGCTTTGTTGATGATCTCGACCATTTGGATTCCCATGGAAAGTTGTCTGGAGATGGGAAAACACATCATCGTGTCAAAAGCTCAGAGTTGGAGTGGTGGGAAACACAAGACAGGGGACATGGTGGCTTTGCAGATGAATCCGGACAAGTTGGTCCGTGTGCTTCATGTCGTTGCCAGGTGAGTGGCATGAAGAGGATATTCAAAATTTTACATTTGTGAATTGAAGTGCTGCACAATTATATAGGGTTCTGGCTTTGATCAGCGAATTGGTGATGTTCACGGTTGCAAATGCACTTTACTATGTACATTAGTAGCTAAACTCATAGCAATTGGGATTATCTGAACTCCCTTTTTGTTTATTTAGACCTTATGCATATCCAAATTTTGCAACTCGCCTGTACAAATATTAATTAAGTGAAGCATCCTTGATTTGGTGGTAAATTGTTCTATTGCTAATGTCCGCTCCTTTCAGGTCATCAGAAGTGTCAGTCAATGGTCTGCTGGGACGAGTCAAACTGAAGAGAGCATTCACATTGCGTACTGCTCTCTTATAGAGAAAGCAGAACATTTTGTCTATATTGAGGTATATGATTTTTTACTTGTAGTCTTGTTATTGAATAGTACCTTCTCTTTTTTATTTTCTGTTCTTTATGCTTTTAATCTTCTTCATTTTTTAACTGAACATGCTGATATTTAATTCCTTGTAGTCGGATCCATTACAATCTGTATCTTAGGACATATTATCTGTTACTTGTGAAATATTGTTGTTGAAATTAACTGGTTTTATACACTTAATCAATGGTATTGATACTTGATTCTTTTTTTTTTTTTTTTTTCCCAGAATCAATTTTTTATATCAGGCCTCTCAGGAGATGATTCAATACGGAATCGTGTTTTAGAAGCATTATACCGTCGCATAATGAGAGCTTACCGTGAAAAGAAAATTTTTAGGGTCATTATTGTAATTCCACTATTGCCTGGATTTCAGGTTCTAGTTCTTGGACATTACCCACTCTCGTCTTTTGCTGGCTTATTGTTTGAGTTTATATTTCTTTTCTCCAATCTGAATCTTGAGTTTGACAGGGAGGACTGGATGACAGTGGTGCAGCATCGGTTAGAGCAATAATGCATTGGCAGTATCGAACTATATGTCGAGGACAAAATTCAATATTCCATAATCTTTATGATCTTCTTGGTTCAAAAGTTCATGATTATATATCATTTTATGGCCTCAGATCTTATGGTAAACTGTTTGATGGTGGTCCTGTGGCTACAAGCCAGGTATATATTTTTCCTTGAATGGCTTTGTTTAATATACTAAAATGATGCATATAGTTTTTAGCGTGACATGTTGTGAATTTAGGTGTACGTGCATAGTAAAATTATGATCGTAGATGATTGTATTGCTTTGATTGGATCGGCTAACATCAATGACAGGAGTTTACTCGGTTCTAGAGATTCTGAGGTCACCACTTCTCTAAGTTCTCAATACTCTCTCTGAAAAAGCTTTGAACGAGTTCGATAACTAATATACTTTCTTCTCTCAGATTGCTATTGTGATTGAAGATAAGGAACTTATCAATTCATATATGGGAGGACAACCATGGAAAGCGGGAAAGTTTTGTTGGAGTCTCCGCCTCTCTCTTTGGTCTGAACATCTTGGTCTTCGTCCTGGACAGGTTAGTGGGTGGCGAATAGGAAGCAGGATTTTTACAGTTTCAATGCTTGAATTTAAATGTTTAACCATTTGTTGTGTCTTAAGTGGCTGATTATGATGTGATTTTGTTTTCTCCAGATCAATCAAATAGTTGACCCAGTTTCTGACTCAACCTACAAGGATACATGGATGGGAACTGCTAAGGTGAGAAAAACTAAAGAGATTAATAGCTTTAGAATTTGGATAAGAATTCAAACCTTTACTGAGGAGAAATGAAAAATTGAATGAAAGCTTTGAAAAAACAACATTTATATATATATAAAAACTAAACGATTATCAATCGAGACCTTTATAGTTTAGATTTATTTATTGTCATTTGCGGTTGGCCAACGTTTTTGAAGACTTGGTGGTTGGGTCATCAACATAATATCTAGTTTCTTTTACCAAAAATGTATTTATTCCGATTACGACTTATGAAATAGGATAAGGTGGTTGTCCAATGAAAATAGTTGAGGTATGTACAAGTTGGTTAGAAGATTAACAGATATTAAAGAAACTTGGAGCTTGGAATAAACGTTTTCATTCTTCTTTCATGTTGCTACCCATTATTAGCATTAGATTTCTATTGTAGATATATTTAATTTTTGATAGTATTGAATTTTTGGAGCACAACTGATGATCTTTTGAACAGACGAACACGACAATATACCAAGATGTATTTTCTTGTCTACCCAACGACCTCATAAATTCCAGGTACGATTTATACTTAAGTTCCAAAGTGGGTCGAATCCTGATTATTTCTTCTCGATATAACGATCTGTACCTGGATTTAAAAACAGAGCTGGACTGAGGCAAAGTGTGGCTTTCTGGAAAGAGAGGTTGGGGCACACCACAATAGATTTAGGAATTGCACCGGAGAGGCTTGAGTTTTACAAGAATGGAGAAATTGAAAGGATTGATCCAATGGAGAGATTAAGTTCAGTGAAGGGACATCTTGTCTCCTTCCCATTGGAATTCCTGAGCAAAGAAGATTTAAGACCTGTGTTCAATGAGAGTGAGTACTATGCATCTCAAGTTTTTCATTAACAACTTTATAATAATAGCCCTCTTTTTGTTAGGCCAACTTAATTAGTTTATGGTTAAATCAAATGATGCATTATAATTTATTTCCCATTTCTTAAAAGAAAAAAATAAGAGAGAGAGAGAGAGAGAGAGAGACAGAAAGGCACATTTACAACAGAAATTAGGACTCTTTTGTAATACTCATTCAATTAATTGAAGACTGCTGTCCTAATTTGGGCATTTAGTGTGTCATTTTCTTCTCTTCCTCGTTGGATTACAACCTTGTATTGTACGAATCAACGAATGAAAGGCTTTGAATTTATAGGTTATTTCAATATTCATATGTAACCTTCTTATTTATGAATATATATTTAGATAGAGATGATAATAATCAAAAGTGAAATTGTTTTTTTATAGGATTGCTCACATCCATCGACTCAACTCTTTCATTGGCCAATTCTTATTTATTTGCTAAGATATATATTAATTAAATTGATAAAAATATTTATAAACTTCTCTCAAAAATATTTTTAAATTCTTATTAATATCGATAAACTTTTTTTAAAACATAAAAAATATTCTTATTAATATCCATACATTATTTCTTTATTTGACATATTCTTTATGTTTCAACCACAATTCTTCATTCTTTTTTTTTGTTTCTAAATCTCTACAAAATTTAAAAATTTAAGAATTTTCTAAACAATTATTTTCATCCAAAATTAAAGGTAAATATATTTTTTTAATTTAAAGTCTAAGGTACAAAATTTTAAACTTTAATAATATATATATAATATTTTTTTTTAGTTTATATATTATAGTATATATCGGCCGTTCAAAACATCAGACAAGCGAAGTTCTCCCGTTTAAATTTCTGGTTCTCTCGATGGCCGAGTGGCTCAGTCTCCAATTCGCTCATCGTTCTCTCCCTCTTTGGGATTCCGCTTCGACTCCAACTCCAATCCGCTCTAGATTTCAGGTTCGGTTTCCCTCTTTCTGTATACCGCACTCTCTCCTTTGTTCCGGATCCGGCTCCGGCTCCAGACTGGTTTTTCTAAGTAACCTCCGGAACGTATATCCGATCAACGCGTCTTTGAACCGCGGAATGTCGAATTCCATAGTGAACAAAGAAGGACCGAAGGAACTTCGAGATGAGTCCGATTTTGAATCCGTCTTCTCCAACGATTCTTACATTTCTGTTTGTGGCTTTGGCTCTCTTCTCTCTGGTGAGTTGATCGTTTCATCATCACAATCGTCGATTTTAGGTTTTGAGCCATCGCTTGTGTGTTTGATTTCTCTCTCTCTCTGGACGCAGAGAGGAGCGCGCGAAGTACCTTTCCTGAACTGATCAACTTTAGAGTGGCGAGATTGAACGGCTTCAGGCGCCTTTTCGGAAATGTAGCTCCTGTATTCTTCGAGCGCGGCATAGCTAAACCTGAAACCAAGGTTTTCGTATGCTTTAAGACTCTGTGCCTTATGTTTTATATGTAGTATTTCTTATTAGAAGAGTAATTTTGTGAAAAGAGAAGATACATGGATAACTTATTGTTGCTCTTCCTCCTCCGCTTCTTTCATTTTTGTAAGTTTAATTTCTCTTTTGACCAAAGGAATTTGGCCATAATGTTTAACGACGTGCTATACGTCTGCATATCAGGAGATTTCAAGCTTGTGTGCGGAGCCTTGCGAAGGAGAAACTATCATCGTTACCGTTTTCGAGATTAAGAAATCTGAGGTAGCACTAATCAAACGTCCTGTAGACTAATTGAATCTTGATATGAGGAGGAATAATTTCTAAATCTCGTTTATGCTGCATAACTTTTTCAGATTCCAGCGTTTATACAGAGAGAGATTGAGTTTCGATTTCTAGCCGTATGTATTTAGTTTTTGTCTGTTATTTCATTTCTGATCAAAACTTTGAGGCCGATTTCTGACATTTATAATTGAGAATGTGTTTTCGTTGTAGGTTCTACCTGAAACATTAGATGGAAAGTTATATGATAAACCAGCGGTATGCGATGGTTGCTGATATATTATACACTCGTAGGTCACTGTTATGTACATGATAATAGCGCAATCAATTGATATTTTAAAGTCACATTGCAGGTTCTTTGCTCTCGATCCACTGATGAGGAATTCTTCCGAGTGAGATGCAAAGGTACTCTTCAGAATTACTTTTCTGTTGTAGTTATACCAAAATACATGCGAGGAATTATGGATTTCAATGTAGAAACCTATAAATAAGGAATATGCTACTTCAAATTTAAAGTTTCTGCTAAATGTTGGCTATTTCTACTGATATCAGGAAATGAAGACGTTTATTTTCAGCATTATGGTCGTCATAATATTGATAAGATCTGGAGAGATGATATCTTACCCTGTCGCGTCTATCTTCGACACTGGTAAGTTTCTTTTTCTCTGTGCCCTTTCTGCGTCCCTGAACAAATATTTTCTGAAATAAGAGTAGGATTTAGCATGAAACATTGAAATTAGGCAATGTTTAATTTGGTTCAAGATCCATTGATAGACTTCATATCTATAAAAGTTGAGACCATCACGTGCTTCTGTTCACTGTGATAGTGTATCTGTAGTATGTACAAAAAAACTTCGGTTTTGCATTTCAGATGCTGCTCTAGATCGTCTGAAAAGCTATGCCATTGGCCATAAATCATCTCTTATGAGTACGCTTTTGTATAAAAGTATATCCTGATGTGTTCTAAATTCTAGGTTTATATCAAACATTACGAGTTCATTTTTTAATTAATCTCTTATCTATCTTGTTAGAATAGATTGTGTACTCTCCATTGGCACCAGATGAGTGATCGAGGCTGTTTAATTTGCTGCTTGTTAGAATAGATTAAACAAGTTTGGAGTTCGCTTTCCAAGTAGGAAAAACGATCAGTAAATTGTTTCTTTTGCTAATTTGTGCTGCGTACTGAATTTTGTTTTTCTTGATTGTGCCTGTTTTATTTTGACGATGCCTGGTCCTCTTTGAAATTCTCCTGTCTGATCGATGAAGTCATGCTTCTGGGATATATCATTATCATTCATTTGTTAACTCGATTCACAGTTTGTTCATAACATCCTCTCCACCTAAAGTGAAGGTGATGATATTTTCCTAGTGTTTTAGCTGCAAATAATCTGGGCGACGCAGCTTACAACAACTTTCTGGATCACACTTTCCTTGGAGATCGTAGAACAACCATCCGTGAATATTTGGCCACTAATGGTTCGGGCATTATGGAAGAGGAGCCTCCAGAATCCCTCAAGTTTCGATATGGCGGTTGATATTGCAGAACTAAAGAACTGCAGAGAAGGGCTTTAAATAGATACTTAAAAAAAGCCTTGAGAGGTACAATCTAAACATATTATATGCATTTAAGCAATAAATTTGTATCTTAGTCACGAGCTAAGAACTTGAATGAATCCATGTCAATCCGTGAACTTTTATATAATACAGGAATTTATTTTTGTTATAGTTCAAGCCAAGATCCTTGCCAAACCATGAATGTTTCAATTGTTTAGTCAACGACTTTTTTTTTTTTTTTTGGTATGTTCAATTTGGTTTGATTATGACTGGCATTAGTTTGGATTAGTTTAGTTGGCCGCAAATCAATCCATGCAGTTTGACTTTTTGTTTTTCTTAAAATTGAACCAAACTAGACCTGTGGTATATTTGCTTATAACGAGATTCGTCCACACTGGTGGTCCTTTGGGGACATTATTTGCAAATTCGTATTTCATCATTATATACAACATACTATTACTACTCGGATGTCTACTTTCCAGATATTAGTGGAGATTAGATATGAGTTGTCTTCTGCCATGGATTATGGAGGAGGACTCAATGACGGCTTCCTGCTGCCATGGAGAATACATGAGCCAGGCAGCCTGATTTGGGTTCAAGGTAATTTTTCTTAATGCTGTTTTTTTTTTTTTCCCCCGAATTGTTTCTTGACATTGGTTTTGACAAAAAAAAAAAAAAAAAAANTTTTAAAAAAAAAAAAAAAAAAAAAAAAAAAACAGCATTAAGAAGTGTTGTAAAAAGTAAATAACAAAAATCATAGTTTTTATGGAACTTAATTTTTAAAAATTAAAAATTAAATAATTCTCAAATATGGCTCAATTACTTGATAATCATTTTATTTTGTATTTTTGAAAACTAAGCTTACACTAACTCTTGAAAATTAAGCTTCTAATAACTATTTCCATCGCTTAGCAAAGTTCTACTATCTACTTTTAGAAAAACCAGATAAAGCAATATTTAGAAATTTATTTTTATTTTTTAAATTTACTAAGAATCGAAAAGTGGAAACTATGATAAATAAATGGTGAGAAATTAAAAAACAATAAATAAAATTGTTATCAAATGGATATCTGCCCATGCTTGATTGTAATGCCTAGATACAATTATAACGAAAATATTTCTTTATCTTGTTGGTCGGCTATATATATATATATATGTAAAGCATTTTATGAAATTATTGACATTCGGCAACTACTGGATACATCACTTTCAAGTTCGTTGATCAACAATTCCATCATCTTTTTGTACATAGGCATATAATGATCGTTGATCATTGTTCGAGACAGACGCAGTTTGCTGTACAGTTCTCTAGGCGTCTCATATATACCAACTTTTTCTTGCACAATCTCGTCATCATCATCGTCGTGAGCTAAGTTATCATAATTCGGCGAGGAGGAGGCTAAGACAATATGCATTGTTTTTCCAGGAGGATAGAATCGAATATTTTCCGAAGCATCCAGAGAAGACAATGGTTGTTGTTCACTGTTTCCCTCAACATCTGTTATTAGCATACTCTCCACTTCAATTTCTGTGGCTGCTGGACCAACAACATCAGCTTCTCGAGTAATCACATCTTGTCGCTGTAGTTCCTTCTCCAGTTCATACCACAACTCGCCGTCTGTAATGTCTTCGACGTCGGTTCTTTCTTCATGTATGAGGTGGTGGTGGTGCTCCTCATCGGTGTCGTGATCATCAGAGATACCATCATCACCAGAAGAGCCAGAATCTAGCTTCTTTTTTTTTTCAATTGTATTAAGTGTTGTAACTTCTTCAGCTATGAATGATTCGTGCTTCCTTTCTGTTATCAGAGGGGCTTCAGGCAACTCCTCTGTGGGATCCGATAAAGTGCTTCCGTTTCGTCTGCGAGCCCCCATGCAGGACCAAGAAGACAGAGAGGACCGAGTTCGCACAACCGCACTTTTTACCGCAGCCTAAATAAATGCCAAGGTTAAACGTTAAAACTACTTTTATCTATATAACTTTCCACTACTTTTATCTATATAACTTTCTACTACTTTTTCAAAAACATAGATAAGCTTTGAAAACTAAAAGAAAAAAACAAAATCATTTTTAAAAAGTTTTTTTTTTTTTTTTTCTAATTTGATTAAAATTCAAACATTGAAGACTTCAGATTTTTTTAAAAATAAATAGTTGTTAATTTGAGCCTAATTTTTTGTTTCTTAGCGGAGAAAAGAAACCTGAGTGGTGGTAGAGACGGGGCGGAGCAGGGCGCCTGCACCGGCGACCTTAGCTTTGGCTGTAGCTATAGAGGGAAGGCGCGAGCCCAGAGCACTTGCAGAGCGATAAACAACATTGAGGACTCTGGTACGTTCTACCTGATCTCGTAAATCATTCAGCCACGATGATGCTGTCACCTATTCATAACCAATCGTAAGAAATACAATAATAATAATGATAACGCAGACCGGGCATTACAAGATAAAGTAAATTTTATACAACCAAAAGACAAAAAACATGAAATGTTTGATTTTCTGTCCCTATTTATTGAAAATGTAAAATCAAACATATTTGTTAGGTTTTAGTAAAAATGTGTTTTAATAACGTTTTCCATCTTTTAAAAACAAACAAAGAAAGAGCTTTAGTGAGAGAGAGATAAAAGTTAGAAAGAGAGCATTAGAAGTTCCTAAATGGAACTACATGACATATAACATATTTTTTTTTTATATAAATATAATTTTATTTTTATAAAATATATTCTCTTTTGTATAGTTTACCCTTACAAATTACAAAAAAAAAACAAAAAGTGAGAGGGATATAATAAAATTCCTTGATTGGTTCTTCCCTAAGAAATGATCTCTTTTGGTTTATTTAACCAACAACAAACATATAATAGAATAGACATATATTTATACCAAATATGAACAATTCATTTATATTTAAAAATATTTTTCAAAATAAAAATTTAATAATAGCCGTTAATCGTTTGTGAGAGAGAGAACTTGTTTCTTATTTTTCTACAAAAAGTAAATGAGAAAGTTCGAAAAATAAAGACAAACCAACCAATAAAACAAGCGTTAAATGGGAAGGATAGAGTTAAAATTAGAAACGAAAGTTGCAATAATGAATGATCGACGGAAAGTTAAGTAAAACAGTTTTAGAAAGGGAAAAGGCATGAGCGAGTGAAATGAGAAGGTCTAAAGAACAAGGAAATAAGTTCAAAATATTTTTAGAAGTTGGGGAGAGAACTTTAGAAAAATAGAAATCAGGAAAAAGAATCAATTATGATTCAATACCTTATAATTTTAACCTAAGCTTTCAATTTTCTCAAATTTAACTTTAAACTTTTTAACAATTATGGAGTATTACAATTTTTATTCTTTAATAAGTTCTTGATCCGAATATCATTGGAAATTCTTTTTATGCGTTCAATAAATTATAAAATATAAGACAAAATTAATGTTAAAAAAGTTTAGAAAAGAGACATTAGAACTAAAGTGCTGGTTGTTGAATTTTATGAATTTTGAAAAAAAAATTATTTAATGGTGAAACTTATTTTTATGCAAATTTTGTTAAGAAAATAGTAGAAAAATTAGAAATTGAACCAAGGTAAAAATTACCAACTATTTATGTTTAAAGTCCAATTTGATGATACTAAAAAAGTTTATAATTTAGAATCCAAATTCTTGATGAGTTTCTAAACTTGGATTTTTTTTCCCTAGAAATTGAGAGAGAAATCAGATAAGAAAGGTAAGTTGTAGTGGTGAAGTTTGAAAGCAATCAAAATTATAGATTAATTTCATTTAAAAAATGATTTTTTATTCCTTTTTAGTAAAAAAAAAGAAAAGTGGTAAAATGCCTTTTTAGAGCCGATTATTCAACATAAACATATAATATTACGTCAGGTATGGTAATTATTAGTACCTCAGATCGCAAGTCGTCGATGGAGGCGGCAGAGAAGGTGGGCACCAGATCTGAACCGTTAATAATTGTAGTAATGAAATGATTACCCGATTCTGCCAACTCCCATGTCATACAAGCAGCTACACAAATGAAGTTAATTAAAAAAATGATAAAATAGTTAAGACTTTATAAACCCGAGGCAAAATCCAAGCATTGTGTAAATATTTCAAACAGGCATATTTAAAGAAAATTTCTCATCAACATAAATATATATATACAAGCATGAGACTAATCCAAAGAGATCTCTAAAGGTTGGAAGCTTCCCAATTTCACAGGTTCATGAACTCAAAAAAATAAAAGAAAAAAAAGTAAAGCATATTGTGATACATGTTTCGCGTTCATAAAACCATTGGAACAAAGCAACGAGTAAAGAAATCGATTGTAAAACATGGACTAAATGCATATGATTTTGTCACTCACTTATTAAATCCAATAAACAAAGCAAACTAAATCGCACCGGTTGAATAAGAAGAAAAAAAAAAGGAATATCAACAAATGAGGACGTTGGCAAACCTGGGGCAAATGTGACGCAGGTGCTAGAGGAGAACTCCTTCTGTTCTCGAAGAATATATGTTAATAAAGCAGCGGTTCCACCGCCAAGAGAATGCCCAACAATCTGGATATAAAAATCTTCGCATTAGTAATGTGCTCTACAGGAAAAGCAAAGAGAGCAGCGGTTCCACCGCCAAGAGAATGCCCAACAATCTGGATATAAAAATCTTCGCATTAGTAATGTGCTCTACAGGAAAAGCAAAGAGAGATTTCGAACCTTTTTCTTCAAGAAGAAAGATATAGCTCATTAGAGCAGTTTTCTTTATTTTGTTATTCAGAGTACTACTTCGCTTGTGAATAGCATTACATTATGCTATACAATACTTAGACTTTGACAGCTAGCTTAGCATGTAGGAGTCTCGTCTTAACCTTGAGGGTCTTAGCTTTAAACCTCATCTTATCGTCATGCTAATTGTTTGGACAGCTAATTGTTTCTCAAAGATTATTTTAATGGCTGAGAAGTTTGATGAGATTAGGGGCTTACAGTTCGATGTGGATGGATTTCTGATCCATGTGAGCTTTCAAACTCAGTCCTTGACCCTCCTTCAATGTGAATAGATTTCTTGAAATTCCTCCCAAAATGCAGGTTTATTTGGTCTAATTCACATTCCTAATGGTTGCAGGTTGGACAGATTCTTTCTTACAAGGACAGGATGGATCTTTTGAGTATGCTTATACAATCTCTAAGCTGTGGGTTAGCCGGATAACTTGCAAGCACCCCATCCGTTCTGACTCTACTACATTCAATTGCCAAGAAAAATCTAAAGAGCTTAGACCTATTATCGCTAATCCCTTGCCATTTACATTGACCAGAGGTCATCCCTATTGGTTTGGGTCACCTTGGATCATGGCATATGCATTTGCATTCAAACTACAGCAAGGCTTCATGATGAGCTACTAGGGTGGAGGCGCGCATGTGGAGATGGGGGTTGAGTTGTAAAGAAAAGAATTGAAGAGTATTTTGATGATGTTCGTGCATTCAACATCTTCCTTCTACAATTCCTTTCAAACTTGAAATATATGGCTTCAACATCTTTCTTCTAAAGAAATAGAATTGAAGTGTGTTTGATGATGTTTGTGGTTTCAACATTTTTCCTCTAAGATTTCTGTCTCCTTGGGGTGGGCCAGTCGGGTGTATGGTAATTTTTGTATGGGGTTGGATATATTCGATAGAGTGAGAATTTCGGATACCTTTCAGAAGATCAGTATGATGTGGCAGTGAATAATATAGGAACAATATCATTTATCAAAAAGTTCACAAAGTCAATATGATAAATCTCATGAAAACAGAATTTCATGCTTAGTTATCAATATCAATGAGACGAGTGTAACATAAAAATTCCTCTAAAAAAGATGATCACCAACTGCACAGGCCAACTTTCGTCAAATATATAAGTAAACACATCATAAAACTGAAAGGTCACACAGCTAATAAAAAAGCCATAAGAATAATAGAATGCATTCTCAGAAACATAAAGCGGAGAAAAATACAGTTACCGGTTCAAACACGATTAGGATGAAATATGGTAGGCAAATCAGAAGTTTGCATCAGGTTAATAGAAGGAAACAAGGACATTGTAAGGAAAAATAAAGAAATAATTGAATTTGAGTAAGAAAACAACGTACTTTTATTTTGTAGTCGGGAAATTCATCAAGACCTTTGAGTAAGAAAGGAGTGCTTAGCTTCGCAATCCAACGAGCTGCTGCAACCATCCCAAAGTGTGCATATCCTAAAACTAGATTACTTATCCCACCATCATGTAAAACTGAATGATGGAAAGGAACCACTGCACCAGTTACTGCAGTTAATGTGTCTTTTATACTATGAGTACCCCGAATCAATAAAAGGAAGCATTTGGAATTACTATCACGAATTATTGTAAAGGCAGGCTTCAAAATCTGCAATTAGTAAGGTAGTCATTAAAAACGATGGTCAAATACTCAAGCCAGAAGAAGAATTCTAACCACCGAAACAATCAAGGTTACAACTTCAAAAACTACTAAAACTCGAATGATCATAAATAAAAGATATTTAGATTCTGTGAGCATAGGAAAAGATCTAATATAGGAGACATCGAGTGTTTAGATTATTTTTAGAGGTAGCAAGTCTTCAACCAGTTAGGCCATTTAGCTTACTGACAGATTGTGTTATGATGCTGATAGTGCAATTTTCCTACAAGAATATTAATAACGCTATTGAATCAATGTAGAGAAAGCAGTCGAGGTTTTAAAATTGCTAAGAAGAGATAAAAATCAGTGATTAGGCAGGCTTATTAACGAGGATAACAAAGGACTATCGTCAAGCCTTCATGAACCACAAATTCCACAATCAGCACGCTTTAAATGAATTCAAAGCAAGGTGAAAATCTAAACAAGTGAAATTCTAGAAGGTTAATACCCCAGCTTTTGGTTTTTGAATAAGCACATCCTCCTGAGAATAGCCGGCAGATTCCAAAAATATTGGAAACGGTTTCTTAGAGAAAAACATGCAGAAGGTGAGCAACCGCAAAAAGCTCTTCAACTCTGCGATAATTTCAGGACCTTTAAGTTGTACACTGTCGTCGCTCGCATACACATTAGCAACTTGTAAATTTCCCTGCAAGAAGAGTAACGCCGCTATGTCCAAATTACAAAACTACATGACCTCATAACTGAATTCACTTTCAAGTTTCGCTACATGGAAACCGATAATCAACCAGAGGAAGTAAAAAACCACTGAAAAATCTAAAACAGTAATAAGAAATTATAGAAGTATGAAGACTTTCAAATAAAAAACAACGTCCTCCATCCACATTCAAGAAATAGAGGCTCTTAAACGACCACAGGGATCCTGTGTGGTACGCATTCTAGATACGAAAAGGAACAGGGAACAAATGAACAACCAAACGAATGCACACAAACAGTGGATGATCGTGAGTCGTAGCCGACTAACATTGCTTAAGTCACTATTATGTAAAATACACAACCTCAAAACTCAATTCACTTTCGAGTTCAGTACAAGGAAAACAACAATCACAAGCAGACGAACATATATATAAAAACATACAGAAAAATGTAACACGGTAAGGATAAAATGAGACATGTCAAGCTTCTTAACTTCCTCTGTCCGCATTCAAGAAATGAAGACTCTAAACCGACACCTGGAAATTTTGTGTGATTCACACTCTTGATATGAACAAGAACGAGGAAAACCACAAGCTAATGCAAGTCGAACAGTGAGAAATCGAGACTCGCGTGAGAGTAACATCGCTAAATTCAGATAACAGAACATACATAACCTCAGGAATAAATTCACTAACGAGTTCTAGCACGGAAAGCCCCAAGCATTAGTGATTTAGAAAACATTTTTTAAAAAAAAGTTAATCAGTAACAACAAATTATGCCATATCAAGAATCTAAAATAATATACATACATACATACATACATATATATATATATATATATATATATATATATATATATATATATATAACAACAACAGCGTCCTATGTGCACATTCAAGAAATGAGCCTCTCAAACAATTATCGGAGGAAAAAAAAAACAAAAGCATAAACAAGCACGAGCAAATGCACGTCGAACAATGAAAGATCGCAAATAGTGTCTGATAAATCGAACGAACAAAAAAATCTCAAGGAAAAAAGAGCGCACCTGTCTCCGCATCAAGTAATTAATGCCAAATGCCAAGTCACCGATCGGCCATTTCCCTAAGGTTTCTGAGTATGTAAACCTAAGAGTCTCCGATAGAGTAGTTATGGTCTCAAACCACGTCGCCGGCGCCTGAGCCGGCCTCCGAGAGATCCTTCTCCTTCCCGATCTAATCGATTTGGACAAATTACCATTCCGATCATCTTCATCGCCTTTTGCTGCTAATCTCCGGCTCAGAACGTAATAAATTATCAAGGCGGCTCCCGCATAGGTTGCCATTGCACCGGCCGCCATGGTATCGAATTGTGGAGATCGAAGCCTCAGGAAAAAAAACCATCAAACTCGAAGTGCGATGATTTAAGGAAAATTTAACACTTGAAACAACCGCAAAACTGGTGGAATAGAATGCGAAACGAAACTAGGGCTCCAAAAATTGGAGAAGTAGAGGATCGGAGAAGAAAGGAAGAAATTCAGGAAGGCGAATATGATTGATTCCTAAAATCTAGAGAGATAATTGCGTTTGTTTGGAGGCAAACCAGAAATAAATCTTTACTTAAAACGAGTGGGCGGATATGAAGGGTAGTTTCGTCATTGTAAGAATGGTAGCGAATCCCAACTCGCGGAATGCTATCAATTAGGTTTAAGCCCAAATTTTATCATATTCGAAAAAGTTAATTTGACGTGGAACACACAATGTTTCAATAGAGATCGAGACTCAAAAGCATTGCATGTTAGTATATTAGCATCCAGAAATTCAAATTCCGATTTAAAAAATTAAGCATGTATCAATTATCATTAAGCTTTTCTTATTAGTCTCAAATTTAATTTTTGACCTAAAAAAATAAGCATGTATTAATTATGGCATTTTTTTTTCCTTTATTAGTAGTTAATTAAGGTATTAGGTGAAACTGGTTAATAAGTTATGAGGAGTATGTTTTATAAATAAATAAAGCACGAAACAAATAAAGCTTTTAACTTTTTGTAAGCCATTTAGTGTTTTATAAATATTTAAAAAAAAAAATTGAAAAATTAAGGAAATAGATTAATAGTATAGATGGATGAAGGTGGGGGAGAAGAAGATAATGATTAATGACAAATCGCAATAGCTGTCTGTAGTTGGATCGGAGGTCGTGGACGTGGGCCCACCGGAACAACACGCGTGGGACCACTTGGAAAATCTTGCCGTTTGTTTATCTACTATACTAATTATCACTAATTATCACGGCTGGGAATTATTCTTAAATTAGGGAAGAAAATCGATTTTCACCATAAATGTTCAATTCATTACATTCAAATTATTTCACAATTGGTTCCTTCTTCAAACTTTCTAAAATTTTAATACAATTATTAATTTATTCCCATTGAAATTACTTAATATTGAGGGTATCTTTCAAAAATTTCATAAATAAAATTAATTTAATAAATGATTCAAACTGTTATTATTTTCAAAAAAATAAAAAATTATAAGTAAATTAATATAAATTAAATAGAAGGTATTACATCTAGTTTACTTAAATTAAAATTTTGAAGAAAAAGAATATCATTTTAAATTTTATATTAGAAAAAATTATTATTTAAAAAGTTTTGCGAAAATTTTTCATTGTTACTGCAAAAAGGTAAATCTAATACTCCAATAAAATTATCACCTCATAAACTATTGGATCAATTACAAGAACTTTATACTTAGTCTCCTTATTAAAAAAAAAAAAAATCTAAAAAATCTAAAAATAAAAAATAAAGAAGGTAGTCATTAAATTTATAAAATCATGCATTTAAAGACTAAATAAACACAAATCTTCATGTTAAATCTATTTCACACCGAGTTTACATTAAATAATAATAATAATACATAATAACATACTACCATAAAATACTAAACAAAGGGGCAGATAGAAAAATATTAAAAAATACACATGTTCCAATCAATAATTATAAGGATAATCATGAAACGTCAGCCATAGATACCTATAGTTTGTCTGTTTAAAGGTCACATTCATAAGTNTTCAAAAATTTTTTAAGATGCTTTTTTTTTTTTTTTTTTTTTTTTTTTTTTTTTTTTTTTGCCTCCTTGAAATTAAGTTTATTTTAAATTGGACATTGATTTAAAAAAAAAAAAAAAAGAAAAGAAAAAAGTCGAAGGTTCTTATCTTTCGACCGCCAACCGGATACGCCGGGAATTTGATGTGCATTTTTGTCGGTGTGGTCGTTTGATGTAAAAACTGTTATAAACATCGGTTTGTCGGTGGTCGGTCATTCGTGCTTGTCATTGGTTATTTAGGAGCTTGTGGCCATGGCCCTTCACACCCGTAGGGGCCGTAACTATTTTATCCAGTCAACATTTTAGCCGGCTGCCTGTCCCACAAATATTGACTCGAGCTTTATGTTAATTTAACCAATTTTAAATTATAACATCGAAAAACCAATTTTAACATCAATTTAACCTTACCTCGAACCGACATCCTGGGCATCGAATTTGACCACCAGTTAACCAAAGAGCACAAAATGAATGGAACTTGAAGCCGTATGGCAAAACGTTTAATCAGGCTAATAACTTTAAATATATAATCGTTTTTAAGAGAACAGGGTCTACTTGCATGGTAAATTTCTATACCTCAAAACTTAGACCCGACGACCAGACAGAAAAGAGAAAAAAAAAAAAAAAAAAAAAAATGAAGAAAGAAGCAAGTCAACAGATATGCCGTAGTTTAGCAGTACAGTACCTCGAGGATGCGCAGTTTCCTTTCATCCACAAAATTGGGTATTCAGCTTTTGTCGGCAGACTGCTTGGTGCCTGGGATTTTGAGCAGCCCTTCGTCAATCAAGGACTGTAACTCTACTCTTGAAATTTCACGTACCTTTGAGTCCGTGGATTCCAGGAAAGCTTGGACTATCTTACAACTGTGATTCAAAAAAATAAAAGAACAAATTGCAACCTCATAAGAACGAGTATCTCGTGGTTCAGGACGGTTAGAAATATCATACACTTATGAATCTAAGAAGCACGAACACCTTCAATTTGATCCACAGGGTTACGAATCGAAAAATCTAAGACGAACCTGTGACCTTGAGCCCACAATTTGGATTTCCCTTCAAGTGCTGTGGTCCACAAAGTGAGGGCAAAGGCAGGGCAGTCCAAGATTAGCTTTCTTATAGTCCTACTAGAGTGGAAATTTTCAAGCACATGCTCATCTCCGGCGGCTGCGTCTTCAGATTTAGGCTCTGCTGCAAGTGAAGCTATAGCTTCATACAAACCACTCAGCTTTTCTCCCAACTTCGATTGAAGAACGCCATCAGCACCCCCCATCGCAACCTGAATGCAAAAATTGATGCAACTTATTAGACTGATGGAAGAAGAAAACTAGATGAGTTATCGAGTTCGAGTTTAGTATATAATATATACCTCGTACATTACTTCTCGGCCGAAATTTGACCTTAGTATTTCCCCAGCATTGTTGACACATACATCGACAAGTTTCTGAAAGATGTAAAGCTCTCCAAGTCATAATCATGCTTCATATATAAAAAGAAATATGGCAATATAGCACATTGTTCAAATAACGAACCTCAGCTAGCCCGCTATCCACCAACAACTCATGTCTTCGGATAAGAGGATCTTTTTTACCACCGTCTACAGCTTCAGAGCCCTCGGCAGAAACCTCGCCTCCATCAACCTCCTCACCTTCCGTTTCGCCCATGTCTCTATCAGCCTTTTCTTCTGCTCTATCGACTCCTGACTCAGACTGAGAAGAAGGCATAGTCTAGTTATAAAATATAATGTTGGCAGTTTGCTTCAAAAGTAAGAATTAGTTATACAAAATGGAATCATTGATAAAAGTCAAAATACCTTGTTGCAAAGAGAAGGTATTGATAAATTTAAAGAAGCAAGATCATCAGGACTGAAGTAGCGCGAACAATTGGGACGCAGTAGTTGCAGTACTACACGTCTTCCATTCTAAAATTGTAATTGAACAAATGAAGATTCAAAGAAATATAAAGTTAGCAGGGAGAACAGGACTATATTATGGAGAAATCGTAACTTCGATATGTGAAGTGTAAGAAAAGAATAATAGAGACCTTATCCAAAATAAGCTCCTTCAAATCTTTCTCGAGCTCGTTAATAATAATCTGAAACACGTGAAAATCCAACTTTCGATATGTATCGGAGAACACAAAAAACATGTTGAACAATAGTCTGAATAGATGGTTAAGAACTAACCTTCCTAATCAGCTTCGTATCATCGACAACCGAGATAATGGACACAAGAACCTGAAAGACGCAAGAGGTACCCCATAATATGACATTGGTGGATTCACAATCAGATAAAATAAATATAACTTCAAAATAAATAAAATAAAATAATGTGTGTGTGTATATATATATATAATAAAAGTACTAGCATGACTATTTCAGCAATAACAAAATTCTAAGTGATTTCAGCAAGTCCAGAGAGCAGATAATGTTTCCTAATTTCAGACATAGAAGGATTTAGTAGGCACAGTTTAAAAGGTAATGCTTACCATAACCGCATATTGTTCGTGTGCTATCTTATTCACATGGCCTTTCATTCCCTTGATGATTTTCTTTCTTTCCTGAGATAATTAACCAAAGACAACGAATTATTTTATTTGTTTGTTTTGATTTTAAGATACAAAAACGGATTAATATACAAACCTTTGCACTCCCATGTTTTATGCAAAGTACACCGATCCTTGATCCATCTTTAGTGTGAATCATTCGAACAAGAAGTGAACTGGACAAATGTTGGATTACATCTGCGGCAGATGTCTTCCAACAAATTGATTAAGAAGAAAAAGTCATTTAGAAAGAAATTATAACTCCAAGAATATCATATTAGTTGTAAAAAAAATGGAAAATTTCACAACACCTTATCAGCAATGGTAAAGTATTCCATCAGAACCCTATGTATAATAGAGTGGTCAACTATCCCCTTTTCCAAAATAGGTTGAATTACTGATGTCATGTGTCGCGAGACTGAAGCTTTTTTAATGTCCAATTTTGAAATTACATCCACTAGCCTGCATATAACATGATTCTGATGACAGGGCCTGCCGAAGAAAGATACAAAATAATAAGATTTGCCAATTTCTTAACCTGCTTTCTTTCATCGAGACGAGATCCTTAAATAGCTGGAGTTCCACCGAATAAAGTTCCAATAGAAGTGTTTGTTTCTGAGCTGCATTTGCTAAATGGTATGCGTGTTCAACAACTGCCAAAATGCAAATACAACATTAATAATGACATTGGTAATGTTCAAATTCATGCTTGAGTTGCATCATTCATAGATAAATGTTTTCACAAACAAAAACAATAAAGACTATAGAGATCGAAACCTAATTACATGTGTAACAGTCTAAGTCCACCGCTAGCAGATATTGTCCTCTTTGGGTTTCACCTCAAAGTTTGTAAAACACGTATGCTAGGGAGAGGTTTTCACACCCTTATAAAGAATGCTTCGTTCTCCTCCCCAACCGATGTGGGATCTCAAAATCCACCCCTTTTGGGTACCAGCGTCCTTGCTAGCACACCACCTCATATCCACTCCCCTTCAGAGCTCAGCCTCCTCGCTGGCACATCGCCCAGTGCCTGTCTCTGATATCATTTGTAATAGCTCAAGCCCACCACTAGCAGATATTATCCTCTTTGGGCTTTCCCTTCCGAGCTTCCCCTCAATGTTTTTAAAATGTATCTGCTAGGGAGAGGTTTTCACACCCTTATAAAGAATGTTTCTTTCTCCTCCCCAATCGATGTGGGTTCTCAAAATATGTATCAGCACTAATCAAACAAATGTGTCTGCTACTTACTAAGACTTGGTTCAACTTCCAAGCCAAAAAGAACGAGTATGATACAAGATTTAACAATTGTAAAAGTAAATAAAGTTATTTATATGATAAATCATGCAGTAATTCTTAAAAGTTGAAGATATTGGATGAGCCAGAACCCATGAACCTTAAAATACCTAAAGATCCAACCATGTGACGAAGAAGAGAAGCTACATGGCCATGTAGAGATGAGATAAACCCAGCCAGCTGCTTTTTCGAGGCTACAAACGAACACAACATGCAGAAAATCAGCGCCTTGTTTGGAAGAAATCAACAAGGAAGGCTTAAGTGGTACGATAAGAACACACCATTATCTAACATTTTCTTCACTAGATGAACTGCGTAAGTGTTGCAAGCAAGAGTGAGAAAATGAGGCTTAAGTTCCTCAAACACTGCCTCTCTCTCGGCATCTGTGCAGTGTTTAACACACGTCTATAGCAGAAGACCAAAGAGAATTAAAAGTAAACGGGAAAATATACATCTGTGAAGATCAAAGAGCTATTGCACGGAAAATTCACCTGAAGCACACGAGACGACACATGGGAACCTGCAATTTCAGGGATCTTCCCCTTCATGTTTTCTAATGCTTTACTTACCCATCTGAAAATTGTCATTATAAGAGGAATAAGGTTAATGATATGAGAGATGGCAGGGAAAAGTAAATTCAGTTGTGATACTCATACTTGGATCTATCTTCCTTGGTGATATTTCGAACCCTCATTTTCTCCCATAGATGTGCAAGCTCCTGCACGCAATGAATAGTTAGGGGCGGGAAGGATTTAAAGAAATTTAATCTATCTATCATTAGCTCCCGAGAATCTTCCATTGAGTCACTATTTTTCCAATGAAATAAAAATGACCGTAATGAAGATAAGTGCAACAGCCCAAGCCCACCGCTAGCATATATTGTCCTCTTTGGGCTCTCTCAAGGTTTTTAAAACGCGTTTGTTAAGGAGAGGTTTCACACCATTATAAAAATGTTTCGTTCTCCTCCCAACCGATGTGGGATCTCACAATAGAGTAGTGTAACTTAATGTTAAAACAATCACTGAAAAATAAGCGTGTCAGTAGCCAATGTCGGTTTAGGCTGCCCACTCCTCTCAGCCTTCCTTCAGTCCCTCGCTTCAATCCCCCCTTCCCCGGGTTCAGTCAGTTTAATTTTTGTTTTCTTTGACACTAAATGTTGGCCTCAACTTAGTTAATAACTATTCCACATGTAGCATAACCGGATTTCAGCAGTGAAATGCCATACTCTAATCAGGACCCTCTCATATTATCCTCAGGGCCAACTCAACACTCGATGAGCCAATGGGGCAGAAAATAACTATTCAAAGTTGAGAAACTTACATGTTCCAAATCATAATGTCGTTTCCTTTTCTTCTTCCTAGCCTCTGCAAGTTCCTGATGAGATAACAAAAGAATATTCAAGAAATCTCCTCGAGAGACAGAACCATTAGAAGGCAAGAGAAATCAAAGGAAAGAAACAGATGATTGAACCAAACTGACAGACCTTAGCTTGGAGGCGATGTTCTCGCTTCGTAATTGGTTCCTTTTTAGCTTCTGATTTTTCAACCTTCGATTTGAAGGGTTTACCAACAGTTCCCAGGCCATGGGACTTCGAGGGCTTGTCATTTACGAACTTCGGTTTCTTCGAAGCGGAACCATGCGAGGAACTCTTGTTGCCTGAAATTTGCTTCCTGTTTTGGGGTTTACTGTTTTGCTGGCTCTTCGCCACCATTGTAGGGGCTGAAGCTACTTTACAAATATAAATAAGTTGAGGTTGTTCGGTCAACCAAAATAACTCCTACAAGCTACGCATTAAGAGAGAATTGGATAATATGATTAAAAACTTCGAATGAAATATGCAACAGATCAAAAGGCAGTTCGAAGAGTCTCAATTTTCAGCAAGGCTTCATGTTTTCATCTGTTTTGCTATTAGTCTATTGTTATGAAAAAGGGAAAATCAATACTCTCCATTCTTTCATTAGAAAATTCCTAGTTCGAGTTTGTCAAGTGAGAATAAAGGCAGATTGGAAGAATACCAGTAACAACGAGAGAGTGAGAAGTCGGCGCAAACTTGCCAGGGGCTGCGGCGGCGTGTCCGCGACGGTGGTGGCAGCACAGAACGGGAGAGAGAGTCGGGGAGAAACTGCGCAGCTGAAACAGAGGGGTCGGCGTGAAGAAGTAGAAGAAGGTACAGCACGTGAGCGCGAGAGTAATATAAAGGGTTTAGGGTTCTTTCTTTTATTTGTTTTTATTTTAATTTTTATGCTAAATTATTGAGAAAAAAAAACACCTTCAACTTGAAAATATGCCAGAGTGTTGTTATAAAGCTAACGCCCGCCGATATTGTTCTCTCGCTTCTCCTTTTGGAATTTTCTTAAACGATTTTAATATATTAATAAACATCATCACTAACACTCGTTCTTTTGGTAACGGAGGTGAGACCACAATCCACCCCCATTCCAGCCCCAGCGTCCTTGCTGACATACTGCATCATGTCTACTCCCCTTTGGGACTCATCCTCTTCACTGACACATCACTTGGTGTCTGATTCTACTATCCTTTGTAACAGCTCAAGCTCATCGCTAATATATTATCACTTTTGAGTTTTTCCTTCTGAAATTTCCCTCGAGATTTTTAAAACATGTCTCTTAAGAAAAGGTTTTCATACCCTTATAAATAAGTTTGTTTGTGTCTCTTCTCCGATCGACGTGGGATCTCACATAAATTAAAAATATTAATAAAACAATTTATGAGGTTTAAAAAGCTCGAGACAATAAAGATATATTTTAATTAATTAACTAGCCAACAATATCTTAATTTTTTTAATTTCTTTGAAATGCAAAATAAAATAGAAGGGGTAGTATATTGAAAATTAGTTTTGGTGTAAAATTTAAATCCAAAATTTAACATTCATCCGCCCACAATTTCAAGGATTTTTTCTCTTATAAAATTAAATTATATGATAATTTGGAACTATACGATTACATTTTATTAATTTCACAATTTAAATTAAAACAAAATTCAATTGCACAAAAACATGTTTGTTGATCACTACCATACTCGACAGCCTGCTATGTAAATTAAATTAAAAAAAAAAAAAAAAAAAAAAAAAAAAAAAAAAAAAAAAAAAA